GCATTTGTTTTGTTGCATTGTTCTTTTTTTTCCATATATTATCTACTTCCTTTTTAAGTGTCTTCAATTATGCTCATATGTTGGGATTTTGCTCCCCCACTTTTATGTCCTCATGTAGTGATTAGCCTTATTGATGAATTAAATTAAGTTTTTGTGATGCTGTGATAAAACAATAGTGATAAGATCTTAGCTTTTGTCATAAAAAGACACAATATTTGGACATTATATTTGTGAGAAATGTGGGAGTTCCTTGTCTTATAAATTTTTATTTCAAACAATATTTTAGTTAAGCATAGGATTGAGTTCTTTTCGATCTATATGGGCTGGCCAGTCTCGTTATGTTACATAAATCTATAATATATTGGCAAGTCATATATTGTATGTCAAGTAGTTCATAGCAGATACATCATACATGCATCTTTCCTTGCTAGATAAACCAAAACCCTCAGTTAGGGCATCGGATGCAATGGAATTCTGAGCCAAACCATTGCTAGAGGTGATGTGAAAATTTCATGACCACCTTTCCTTTTCTTCTTATAACAATATCTCCATCCCCAGCTCTACTCTAACGACTACCGTAACTGTGTGTTATGTGTAGAATCTAATTAATTTCCAGGGAGTTTAAATCAAAGGCCTAGATACAGAAATATTACTGACTCGACTCCAGAGCTCAACATTCATTTCCAAGATATTGTTAATCAGGTACAAACTTTTAATAATATTGCCCCAATCTGTCATTATTTGCAATCATCTTCTCTATAGATACACAAAAAAGGAAAGTTTATGTCACATAAATTAGAATCATGTGATGGGAGAGTATTTATGTGAACTGCTAGGAATTTTCAAATGAGGACGGAATAGGCTCTGTTTTGGACCAACTGGAATGTGTGCTACATTTGTAGCTGGCAAGGATTTGGTGAGACACATCTCCGTACAAGGAACATTGTACAGGCCATGGAGTGGAAGCTTTCCTGATGCTTCATTTGAGAAATAACGAATTGCAAATAAGATTATTTTCTCAAGTTCAGAGAATCAAAAAGTTTCCTTCCATAGTTTAGCCGAATATGAAAGATGATCAGACAATATTTGAAAGGGACAAAATCAAAGAATCTGGATATGTGAAATAGAAAATCACGCTTTTAGTAGATCTCTCGACTCCAACATTAGTTTTTAACATGAATTGACGGAATGATGATTCTTATAGTAATTATTACTAGTCTTTTCTAGGGAAGTGAATCAATGAATCATATCAATGTCCTATGTCATGTGTGGTGAGCTGGAGAAGATATGTCGGATTGCAGTGGATCGTAGCCAGGGCCAGTTACTCAAAATTAGACTCCAGACCTGGCTAATATGGGATGCTTCTTGCATCAGACTACCCAATGTTTTCTAGTAAAATTCTTAAATCTGGGCCCTTGTTATATTTGTGGTTTAACAACATACTTTCTTAGAGGTGCAATATGTGTCCTTTTCCTTGTGGTGTTGATGTCATTACTTATTTCTTTTAGTTGTTGACCCTGAAATAGGAGTTCTCATAATGTAATCAATTTGTTAAATCTTTCCAACATATCAAGTCAGCTAAGACATCTCCAACTTGTCAAGTGTAGTAACGTTGCTGGAAGTTTGACTTTAGCCGCCAAGAACTTTCCGTTGTTGGAGGAGTTGCACACTCACTTGACCTTAATTACTAAAGATGATATAGAAAGTGTTGGTCGTTATTGCCCTCTGCTTAAGTCATTTACATTGAATACTGGTGAATGTACTATGTTTGGAGATTCACTATCTCCAGATGATGGTCAAGTGTTAGCTATTGCTAGAGGTATGCCTGAATTGAGGCACGTTGCACTAATTTTCAATAACTTGACAAATGTAGGACTTCAAGACATTCTTGATGGCTGTCCACACCTTGTATCGCTTGACTTGTGTCGCTGTAATATTGATCTTGAAGGGGATTTAGGAAGAAGATGCAGGCAACAAATTGTAGATCTAAAGCAACCTCATGCTTCCTGTCAAGATTATGAATTTGATTCTGAAGTTTGTCATTACAGTTATTAGTGGTCCTCTTATAACTATGAAGATCACGATTATGAACACTTCGGCATTGATGATGATAACTAGCAACTTATATTTGCTGGAAATAGGGAAGATGACAAAATGGCATTTGTTTAGAACATACGTGGTGGTGGTTACATTTGTTTTGTTGCATTGTTTTTTTTTTTGCAAGTATTTGCTTGGTAGAACATGTGGAGTATTTAGTAATAAAGTTTAAATGATATTTGTGAAAGGATTATATAGACAAATTTGACATGATTGTATAAGAATTGAAACCTTGTACCTCTCTGTATTGTCTACTCCTTTGTCAATTGTGGATTGGATGGGTTGTCTTCAGACACTTCACACTACTTCCTTTTGAGTGTCTTCTAGTATATGCTTTATGTCCTCATGTAGTGATTAGCCTTATTGATGAACTATAACCGTATAGAGTTTTTGTGATGCTGTAACAAAAGAATAGTGATACAATCCCAGTTTTTTTTTTTTACTTTGATTAATTATAGTCTTTGGAGGCAAGTCAATGTATGTAAAGTGTTTCATTCATAGCATCCAGTCCAAGTCTTGCTCTCATTTCTTGCCTTACTTAAACCTAATAACTTGAAAATAAGGTTGATTAAATCAAATGGGTTGAGGCATATGGAGTGAGAAATATAATACTGTAGTGTACTCTATGGCAAGACTTTTGTTGTGATAAGATTAAAAGTTGAACCTATTAAATGTAAATTTTGGATGCGCATTTGTATTGAAAGAGTAAGTTACCTTTTAATTTTGCTTGGAGTAACTTTTCAATTACAATATTGGAGTCTTAGGCCAATTGAGTGACGAGAAAGAGAAAAGAAAAGTATTCATATATATAAACTATAAGAAAATGTCAATTTCTGTTAAAAATCAACACCTTGAGTTGAGACATGTGCCAAAAATGTAACTTTCTCTCTTACACCCTATTTTTAAGAATGAAAGAGGATGTTTAGTATGAGAAATGACGAGTATTCACCTTGCGTTCATCAACTATTAATTCCATTTCCTGTTTCAATAAGTACAAAAGAGAAGAAAACGTTTTAGTTCCTTCATAAAAGAATGAGTATTCACATTTTCTTTATTTATTTTTGCCGTTCTTATTTATATGTCATCATTTTAGATTTCACATTTTTCAAGAAACAATATAAATTTACGAATCCTTATTTAATATTCTTTTGAAATCAAAGGAGTAACAGTTTTCCATTAAATTGGACAGAGGAGCAAAGATTCTAAGTTTTAATTAACAAGTCTTTTCACCTTCCCAATCCCCATAAAAAAAAGGCATGAGTACCCCAAAGGAACTTTTACCTTATTTTCAAAATGCATAATAAATATTTCATTCGTTCGACAATAGTTGTTACACTATTCTATTTTGAAATCTATAACAATATTTGTCCATTTATGAAACCAATGGATAATCTTACACTTAATTATATTGGGTTCTTGAAGTCTAGATCGACTTGAGTTAATTGGTTTAGTGGGGAATAAAGTTATTGCTTAGAAGTTACTGGTAGTAGAGTTGCTAAATTAAGGAGGAATGAATTAAAGAGTTTTAATCCTAGGTTGTAAGAGTTTGTAATCTGAATCTTCGCTCCTTTTATAGTTAAATGGAGTTGGGTTGAAGTTCATGTGAGTACATGTTGTGGTTTTATCCTCCCTTGAGTAAGGGGGTTTCCACATAAAATTGTTGTGTTTGTTTTATTTTGTGTTGTTTACTTTTTGTATTTATCTTCTGTCAAGAGACCTATTCCAGTGACCATTAGACGCATACATTCTCTCGGTATAAATTGCCTAAAACAATTCACTTATTTTGAAATCAAGTAATACTAATTTGACACATCTCAGAATAATTCACTTATTTTGAAATAAAATAAGTATTGATTTGACCATTAGACGTATACATTCTATTAGTATACATTGCCTCAAACAATTCACTTATTTTGAAATGAAGTAAGTACTGATTTGACACATCTCGAAATAATAAATGGAATGATAATTTTTCCAAGGGAGAGGTGAATAAACAAATCAGTACTCTAATTCATCCGACCATTTTTATTTATCTAGTTACTAAATCACCTTCTAAATATAATATATTCACTACTTTGAAAAATACTTTTACTATAAGGATAATTTAAGAGGCAAGTTACAAATCATCTCATGATTTTTTTAAACTAGACAAGTAAAGAATGGACAAAGAGAGTCTAATTTGCCCTTGATGTATCAACAATCACCTTTTTTTTAAAATTATTATTATTGATCAAATTACTACTCCATTTCTCTTGTATTACTTGTCAGATTATCAAAAAAAAAAAAAAAATTCACCTTACTTGTTAATTTATAAAATTAAGATAAAAATTGATTTTTTCTCATTTTACCCTTAAAATTATTTTTTTGAAAATATAAATAAGTTCCTCTATTATTATTCTCGGTATTGATTAATTAGACATATAATACGTTAATTTATTACTCCTGTATAAGCAATAAATTAAGCTTTTCAAAAAAATAATTAAATTATAAATTAAAAAGCAATGTAATCACAAAAATTAATAAATGCATATAGGAAAATTCCAGTAAAACAAAAATTAGAACGGAGCTTCATAAATTGAGAAGAGAGAATACAAATTAAAGAAATAAAATATTGTGTAATAGAAAATGTAAATAAATGGCGGGAAAATTAAAAAGTAAATTAATGATGTTATCGTAAATGAGCGTGATGGAATTTGAAGAGTTTTTGTGACGCTTTCACTTCTCCAGTTTCCATTTTTGCTGTCTATAAATTAAAATCCTAAGTAGAATATTTCAGTAGTAAAGTAAAATGTTGAAAGCATCCTCAATTACACCACCACCGTGGATTGAACTTCCGGCAGAAATCACAATGGACATTCTGCAGCTAGCGTCTGGAAACGAAAGAGAGAGTGGAGAGTGTGCAGATGGTTTGTAGTACCTGGTGGAAGGTGTGTCATGATCCTGCTATGTGGCGTGTTGTTCACTTGAAATTTGAACCTGATAGTAATTGGAATTGTTTGTTGGAGAAGATATGTCGGATTGCTGTGGATCGTAGCCAGGGCCAGTTACTCAGAATAAGCATTGAGAATTGTGGTAGCAAAGAATTGCTCGTTTACATTGCTGAGAGGTACACTTTTGGTGTCGTAATTTTGAATATCCTGCCATTTGATATACAAAAGAATGTTGAACTGCCATGTTCCTTTGAATTAGTGTAAGTCCAGTCATTATGAGATAAATTAAGTTCAATTACCACTTATGATCTTTCAGTGCTCTTCTCTATCCAAGTATCAATATGTTTACTTTCTAATGTCCCTGTTATCTCTAATGCTAATATTTCCTGAAGCCTACCTTTTTATTAGCCCAACTTCAATTGCCGGGAAGTACTTTAATTTCCCAAATGTTTGATTTGGAAGGGTGGCAGGTGAAAGGATGAAATATGTGCCCTTCTCTTTTGTCCATGTCAAAATAACTTGTCTGACTTGGAGGCTGTCTACATCACATCCCTTGGGGTGTGCGGTCCTTTTCTAAACCCTGTTAACGTGGTATGCTTTGTGCATCAGGTTGCCCAATGTTTTCTAGTTAAATTCTTAAATCTGGGCCCTTCTTATATTTGTGGTTTAACAACATACTTTCTCAGAGATGCAATGTCTGTCCTTTTCTTTTTTGTGTTGATGTAATTGCTTTGTTCTTTTTGCTGTTCACCCCTGAAATAGGAGTTCTCATAATGTAATCGATTTGTTAACCTTTCCAACAGATCAAGTCAGCCCAGACATCTCTGTCTTGTCAAGTGTGGTAACGTTGCTGGAAGTTTGACTGCAGCTGCCAAGAACTTCCCATTGTTGGAGGAGTTGCACACTCACTTGACCTTAATTACTGAAGAGGATATAGAAAGTGTGGGTCATTATTGCCCTCTGCTGAAGTCATTTACATTGAATGCCAGTAGATGTACTACAATTGTATATTCACTATCTCCCGATGATGGTCAAGCGTTAGCTATTGCTAGAAGTATGCCTGAATTGAGGCAACTTGCACTAATTGACAAATGTTGGACTTCAAGCCATTTTTGATGGCTGTCCACACCTTGTATCGCTTGACTTGCGTCGCTGTAATATTGGTCTTGAAGGGGATTTAGGAAGAAGATGCAGGCAACAGATTGTAGATCTTAAGCAACCTCATGCTTCCAGTCAAGATTATGAATTTTGATTCTGAAGTTTGTTATTACATCTATTATTGGTCCTCTGATGATTATGATTACCTTGGCGGTTATGACTTTGAAGAGTATTATGATTTTGCCCGTGATGATGATAACTGGTAACTTATAGTTATGTCTTTATTGGTGAAATGGGGTAGATGACAAAATGACTTTTGTTTCAGAACATTTGTTTTGTTGTATTTTTTTATTTGCAAGTATTTGCTTGGTAGAACTTGTGGAGTAATTAGTAGTAAAGTTTAGACAAATATAGAGGGACTAATAATTTGACATGATGATTTGAGAATTGAAACCTTGTACCTCTCTGTATTGTCTACTCTTTTTTCTTTATAATCTCTTGTCAATTGTGGATGTATCCAATTTTAAGGAAATCAAGTGCTATTTAACCAGTGCTTGCGGCTTGGATAGGTTGTCTGCTGGGATGTTATCAATTTAATTTGAGTTGTCATTGCATCTTCCTTTTTTTTTCTTCTAGTGTTGTAGTAGTAATCTTCTTTAGTCTTGGCACCAATAGATTACTATTTCCTTTTAAGTGTCTTTGAGTATTAGTTTTATGTCCTCATGTATTGATTAGCCTTATTGATGAACTGTATAGAGTGTTTGTGATGGCGTGACAAAAAAAAAATAGTGATACAATCCTAGTTTTTGTTATACTTTGATTAATTATACAGTCGTTGGACACTTTCTGAGAAATGTGGGAATTTGGTGTCTTATTTGGTAGCCCTGAGAGACTACATGATTGGATGTGACTCATTCACGATAGTGGTACATATCAAAGACCTCTTTGTTTTAATTTTGAAGAAAGTAGGATCTAATTGAGGAGAAGGTCGCTACATCTATTGAATGGCTTAAATGAAAATATTTTTATTTTTTAAAATTTTAGTTTTAAATAAAAATTTCATGGCAATAGATTTTATTGAAAAAATTAATTAAATAGGTTTAATGCCTTTTTGTTAGAAGAGCCTTGAATGAGTTAAACATCAAGTTGAATGACTTCTTGTGAATTTATTTTATAGTTGAATGGCATTCTGTGAAAACAGTCTATAATTGAGTTACCATCTGAAATATAATCTCAATAAATTATAGTACACCAATAATAAAGATAAGAAAAGCTATAACACGATGATGGGCGTGTTCAAAACTCAAATTCCATAATGAGGTGCATGCCACAGAGCTGGTATAAGGTTTGTGACACAGCTCAAACTCCGCGATGAGGGACTGGCATGGAGCTGAAACTCTGCGTTGAGGGTAAGGGCACGGAGGCAATGTTCAACGATTCATTCACAATAAATAAATAATATAAATATTGGAAGATTTGTGGATTCATTCATAATAAACAGACAAAATAAATGGCGAAAATGAACGTTTGGGTTAAGCCGTCAACATAATTTATTTATCGCGAAAGTCCACAACATTTTAATCAATTCGAAAATTCATTATCCCTTTTGATTTCGAATTTTGACAATTAATTAACCAACTAAAAATATTTTAAAACATACCTTATAAGAAGTTTTCATAAAAAATAAATTTGAGGGTATCAATTAAAGTATATATAGTTTGTTTGTACTAAAAATAAATTAGCATTTCTAGAGCCAAGAGTTTTTGAATTTTGAAAGGGTTTTTTGTGACGGTTCCAATTCCCCTGTTCCCTCCTTTGCTCTGTTCACAAAAATCAAAATCCTAACAAAATGCTGAATGTTCACAAAAAGTTGAAAGCATCCTCAATTGCACCACCACCACCGCCATCTCCACCGTGGGTTGATCTTCCGGCAGAAATCACGATTGATATTCTGCAGCGTCTAGGAACGATAGAGATATTGGAGAGTGTGCAGAGGGTTTGTAGTACGTGGTGGAAGGTGTGCCATGATCCCGCTATGTGGCGTGTTATTGACTTGAAATATGACCCTAATTTAAACAGAATGCCTCTGGTGCTGGAGAGGATATGTCGGATTGGGGTGGATCGTAGCCAGGGCCAGTTACTCAAAATTAGCATCCAGAATTTCGGTAGCAGAAACTTGCTCAAGTACATTGCTGAGAGGTACTCCTTTGTTGTCTTAATTTTGAATATCAACCATGTTCCTGTGAATTAGTGTAAATGGAATTTGATCGAGCGATTATGAGATAAACCATACTTTTGGGGATTGTTTTAGACCATATAGTTGTAATTGTAGATGACATATATACCCTATCTTGCACAACAAACTCTGGTGGTTGTTTCCTAATGGAAATTGTAATAAGTATCGTGTGTATTCATATTGGGTGATATTGGTGTATCCTATGCCATGAACCCAATTTATATACAATCATGATTATTAGTGGTATGTTAAGAGCTCAACAAAACAAGATGTGTTTTATGTAATTGCTCTTTTCTTTTTTTTTTTGCTGTGACCCCTGAAATAGGAGTTCTCATAAAGTAATCAATTTGCTTCCTTTTTTGACAGATCAACTCAACTCAGACATCTCCGAGTTGTCATGGGTTTTTATGACTTTGCTGGAGGTTTGGCTGTATATGCCAAGAATTTGCCATATTTGGAGGAGTTGCACATGCACTTCACCTTAATTACTCAAGAGGATATAGAAAGTGTTGGTCGTTCTTGCTCTCTACTTAAGACATTTTTATTGAATGCCGATGCATGTGATAGACCTAAAAATTCATATCCAGATGATGGTCAAGCTCTAACTATTGCCAGAAGTATGCCTGAATTACGGCACCTTGGACTTCTTTTGAATAACTTGACAAATGTAGGACTTCAAGCAATTCTTGATGGCTGTCCACACCTTGTATCGCTTGACTTGCGCTACTGTAATATTGATCTTGAAGGGAATATAGGAAGAAGATGCAGACAACAGATTGTAGATCTAAGGCAACCTCATGCTTCCACTCATGATTATGAATTTGATTATGAAGTTTGGTTGTACTTCAATTACTGGTCTTCTGATAACTACGATAGTGCAGATGATAGTGAAGATGAAAACTGGTAAATTATAGTGATGTTGTCATGATCAAAGAATTTTACTTATGGTAAAAGCCCAATATTTTAGTACCACTGTTATTTCATCTTTCTTCCCTTTTTTGTCTTTATTGCTGGGAATGGGGAAGATGACAAAATGACCTTTGTTTCGGAACATACGTGGTGGTTACATTTGTTTTGTTGCACTGGTTTTTTTGGAAGTATTTGGTTGGTATAACAAGTGGAGTATTAGTAGTAAAGTTTAAATGATATTTGTGAAAAGATTATTGACAAATAATATAGAGCAACTACTAATTTGACATGATTGTTTGAGAATTGAAATTTGAAACGTTGTACCTCTCTGTATAATGTCGACACTTTTTTCTTTATAATCTCTTGTCAATTTTGGATGTATCCAATTTTATGAAAATCAAGTGTGTGTAAACACACTTAACTAGGATCGTGCCACTTAAAATTGCTCTAACTTTGTTCCAACTTCCAAGTAATATAACTAGTGAATTATTTGTGTTTTCATTAAGAAGAGATTCATTGTATCCCTTTGGTGATCTCTCGATGCTAGTTCAGGTGCTCTACCTGTGCCAATGGACAAGGTTTCCTTTGTAACCACTGCTTGCGGATTCTTATAGTTGTCTCCTACTTGTTTGAGATTGAGGCATACCTGTTGTTATCCTATATTAAATTTGAGCATTTTTAAATGAGTTTGAACTGTTCTGTGGCTTAAGTTCCTACTTATTGTAGTATAAGCAAAGGAGGGGGGATTATAATGATGTAGTGTATTGTAAGGCTAGATTCATGCCATGATTCGCTGTGGTATCTACTACATCATTTCCTTCACGGTTTATGTGTTTAAGTACTTCCATGCTGTACAACGTTCTCATCAATGACGATCAGAAATAATTTTTGAATAGAAATCGTATCCTGTTTTAAGTATAAGAGACACTACCTGAGAACCTATTTCTATATGTAGTGGAGACAGGTTAGATTCTTTTGTGATTTGTGAATTTAGTAAGAGTGCAGTGAGTTCTGATTCAAGTACGGTGGAACAAATAAGTGGAAACTTGAATCCATTGGGCTCGGCATGGGACACCAGCTGCTCCGGCATTTCTTTAATAGGTGATGAGGCAGGAACTTCAATATCTTGATAGGTGAAAGAGTCCTGAAATACCTTTAGCATTTGAGGTGACATGTAGATAACTTATGCTCTGTATTTTTTTGGCATAATACATATATTGGACCCTAAACTTGGCTTCAAATTTTAACTTTGACCTCCAACTTTCAAAGTGCACAAACAGACATTTTAACTATCCAACTTTTAAATAAATAAGCACACGATTTTTGCAGCCAAAGAGCGTGAAATGCAAACGCTCCAACGTGTATTAGTGAGCCACTCAATGGCTGCCAACTAATTAAATATTTTACACGCCATTTTAGAACTAAAAAAAATCAAAATTAATTTTAATTTATATACAAGAATCAAAATTAATTCCTCCTAATGGTTTTTAGAGCTTGGAGCTCATTGTTTGACGGAACTTAGGGGTTTGTTGATGGTTGGCTTCTTGGTTTAGGTGTTTGTGGTTGTTGGGTCTGTTTTCATGGGGTTTGGGAGGTCATTTGGATTCTCGCCGGAGATGGCAGATCTGATGGGTTTGGGTCGGGTATTTGGTGGGTTTAGCGAGCTCGAAGCTCGTTCGCTTCATGGGTTGTGCTCTGGTGTGAGGAAGAAGGAAAACGGCTGGGTATTTGGTGGCGTTTTGCCTGAAAAAGAAGAAAATGAACGGAGGTTTTGGGTTGCCGGAGATTGGCTGGAATCCAGGGGGTAGAGTTGTCATTTCAGCATTTTTTTACTGTTGTGGGACTCGAAAATTACTCCTAACTCGCACAGAATACGTGCACATCACGCATTTTTGCCAAGTAGGAATCGCGTGTTTATTTATTAAAAGGTTGGATAGTTAAAGTGCCTGTTTGTGCACTATGAAAGTTGGAGGTCAAAAATTAAAATTTGAAACCAAGTTTAGGGTCCAATATATGTATTATGCCTATTTTTTTGGTGCCTCGTTGCCACAAAATAGTTGATACGTGCATAAGCCACAAGTTGACCCGGAATATTTGTGAAGGATTTTTGGTTTTGTTTGATGGATAGAATTCCTCTTTCCGAGTGTGTGAGGAAATAAGGTTTTTGAAAACAAATACTGATTTGAAGTAAAAGTTGAACAATTTAGCAGAATTTTGACCTCTGAAATAGGAAGGCTGACATTTTTATGCTGATTTTTCTACTGAAAAATTTCTGTAAATATGGTTGTTCATCACTCAAGTTTAATCAGCTGATTCCATTTTATAACAGATGTTCTTCACTGCAAACCGGACAGTTTCAAACATAAAGTTATAAATGTTAAGTATGTTGCGATGAATACAAATGATAGGGGACAAAAGTTTTAGGACCTCCCGTGCCATTGTAACATAATCCGGAGACGTATGGTTCCTTTGAACTGCGGCAACAATGTCAAACTTTTCTAGCACAATTGCATGCTTGAGCAAATATTTTATCAATGGCAGCACACATTCATTAAATTTAAGGATCTTGATGGTCTTCAGATACGGAAATGAGCCATTAAAATTAGGTGGTTCAAGCCTCCTGGTCTCTTCGTCCCAATGTGTGTAGCATGACAGCAAGTACTGTAGGAAAGAATCCACTATATTAACCAAGGAGTTGATTGTGGATAAAATAAAAAGGTGATGACTTTTACCGATTATTGAAAGATTAATGATGAATGTATATATCAAATAAAATGAAATGATCAAAAGTACTTAAGATAAGAAATGTTAAATATATCATCTTCATTCTCTACTAATAGTTGTTTAACATGAAGTAACAAACATAAAGGTCTAAAAGAAACTTACTCCCCTTTCAACATCGTACTAATCAATGACCAATGTCTCAAGATCCAGTGAGCTCTGTAGAAAGCAGCAAATTCCAGGAAAGTCCAACTGTTTAAATTCCACACCAAGTTCTAAGAATTTCCGGCTTGATGGTGGAAACTCCCACCCTTTCAACTCCAAGATGGAAAAGCACTTACAAAGGAAATAGACAATCAAAATATGTTAAAACAAGGAAATATGATCCAATAGTAAATAAAGAGTCCATCAAAAGAATCTGAATTTCGGACAATGAAGAGTATGAATATACCTCGATGCACCAGGATCCCAGCGTAAGATTCTCAACATGGGCAACGCTGTGAAGAAGCTCCTTAAAAAGACTAGTTTCCTTCTCCAAGTTCTGTTCTTCCCCCAAATAAAAATCAAAATCTAAACGAAGCATTGCAGTAACAAGTGATGCCACATTTATGATGCGTATCTCACTGCACAACCCCACAATTTGCAATTTTTTAATGTAGGGGGCTAATAATTTGAGCTCTAGATCATGGTTCTCATTTTTATACTCACGTATAATCAATTCTCTCAACTTCACGGAGCTAATTTCCAAACGATATATGCCCGAAAAATCCTCCAATTCTAAGTACTCCAAGTTAGGGCAACCAGATAATACCTTTTCCATGACACCATCTATAAATTCCATGTAAAACATTCAAAGAGAACCGAGACTACTCCAGTTAACATTGCCAAAAGGGTTCAACTGGCAGCGAAATAAAACCAAATTCCTCAACGATGCATTTTTATATGCAAATTGAGGAAACTCGTATATTTGGTTATTTGTAATAAATTTAAGTTCAAAATATTCAATATTAGCAAGTTTAGTTGCAAAATGTACCCACAAATCAACATCTTTAGCAAAACGTTGAACATACTTAAGGCCCCACACTTTGAGTTTTTGAATTTTCTCGCAAGACCTCCAATAATAAAGTTCTCTGTGGATAGAAACTAGATAATCAAGAGTGTCATTTTCATTGTCACTAATCGGAAAGTTGAAATTGAGTGATGTTGGAACAAATTTCCAAAGAAACTTCTATCGTTCAGATAATACACTGGTTCTCACAACTTCTTTATTGTTTCGCAACATAGAAAGGATGTGAAGTAGGATTGAATCGGGTAAATTGCTGAGTCGGTCTCCTCCCGCCATGATTTTCCTTTGCATTTCCATGGAGTACAAAACATTAATCGACTATCAATTATGACATATAAAATATTAACTTCTATACCATGTTCTAATATGCAAAGAAACAATCTACGTAAATTACCTAAACATAGATAATAATTAAAGTCAATTTCATTAAAATAGACATAATAATTAAGAATCCTTAAATTCTCGTGTTCTTTCCTATAAATTTCATCACTTAAGTTAGTAGATTCTACTTTTGCATAAAAAAATGGAACTATAAAGAAACATATACATATTAGAATTATTTCAAACTGACCAAGCTTGGATCACTTGATTAGTAGAGGAAAATCTCAGTTGTTAATGTAGTTTAATTGTAAACTCATCATCATGTGCAAAATGAAAAATGTTTAGATTTGGAAATAAGAACACATTCCCGTGCTTATTTAGACCACAACAAGCAAGAGATTTTTAAGATCCAATAAACTATAAGCATTACCTCTTTACACTATTATCTCCAAATTGTCATTAAAATTCATATACAATTATATACTTAAGAATTAATAATTTTCATTTATCATGTCAAATTAGTAATTAATTATATACTTATAACATCAAATTTTACATACTATATTAATCTAGAGTTACAATTATTTAAAATTAGATAAAGTATTTTCTTTTTAGCTATTCAACTTCATTTTCCTATATGTTGAGCATATCCTTTTGGTTTGCATTTGCATATCCTTGAGAGATATGACATGATGACTGATTTTATTTTCAATATGATTTTTTTTTCTATTGTCCTAAAAAAGAAATAATTTTTTTTTCTCTCTTCAAAGATTCAATGCTCTCGACAACACACCAAGTACATAGAGACTAGATTTGGCAGTTAGTTAGGGTTTTCTTCTGGTAGCTCCTTCCTAGGCAGTAGTTGCGCAACTCTCATGGCTGCTATGGCCACCGGACGGCCTCCTTTTGAGGTTGTCCAACCCGCCCCACCACCCCAAACCACCACTTTCAATTCCAATACTCTAAATCCTTAACAATTTCCCCTAATTAACTCAAAAACAATCGTAAAGCCAACCGAAATAGTTCATGGAGATTCTACTATCACGTTTTCAATGGAGGAAAGGCAAGACTTTATGATCGACGAGGGATTGCATCAAACAATGATGTTTAAATTATCCCAAGGTGCACCACATTCGAAGGTATTAAGGTCAATTTTACCAAAACATCTTGGTACCAAGGGCAATTGTTTGATTGGTTTACTTGCTCCAAGAAAAATTTTGTTGAGGTTTGATCAATATGAAGATTATGTGCTAGCTTTATCGCGCTCAGTTATCTTCCCTACAATGGAGAGGAGCACCAATATAGGGTTTTTTCATGGTCTATTGGATATAATCCTAAGGAGGAAACAACATTAGCTGTGGTTTGGATTTCTTTCGGAACTTATCTCCGGATTTGTTTGCAAAGAAGTCTCTGTTGTTTATAGCATCGGCAGTTGGGAAACCAATAGCTATAAATAAAGCTACTCAAATCAAGTCAAGACCTAGCACGACTAGGGTCAAGGTTATACTTGATTTAATGGAAAAGCTTCCAAATTGTATAAGGTTGCAGTTTGTGGATGGAATTAATCTGGTAGGTTAATCGAGGTTTTTCAGGAGATTGTATATGATAATCTACCTTTGTATTGCAATTATTGTAAGCACCAAGGTCATGGTGAAGATATTTGTCGCTTGATCTCGAAAGAAATCAAAATAACAAACAAATTGATGATACCATTGAAGTTGCTTTAAAAGGTACTACCGATAGTGATAAGTATCAAGGTGATGCGAGAGAAATGGTAAATGAAAAAAGAAGGATTGTAGATGTCGATCAAAGTAAAACTACTTTTTTAGATCGACAATTGGTTGCTGCCACTTCTGAGCAAAATCGTGCAGACTCAATGGATGTTGATACAAGTAATATTGGCGTTCAAACAACTACCGGAAACAAATGTATTTTAGAGGTTTCAAATGATCAAGAATTAACTCTAAGTACTGAATCTGTAGAGATATTATAACAACAAAAAAGTGTGGGGGTTACAGGTGATTGCAATAACCAGTAGAGTGCTACTAATGAGGTACAATAAAAAAATTGGGCTGAATTTGATGTCTAATGCAACTAAAAACGCAGGGAGAACATCAAGAGTTGGGGTTGATGCGTCGGGAGTTGGTCTAGGACAAAAATTAATGGATTCAGGACAATAACTAATGGATACATCTGATGTTGAAGATGCTGAAAATTCTGGCAGCATGTTTTGCAAGTTGAAAACGAGAATGCAAATAAAAAAGGACACTAGTTACACAAAAAAATTCAACTAGTAGTCGGACCCTTTCCCCAACTAGTCGAAATAATTCTTCATGTAGTTGAAAGGGTGCAACTGGGAATTTTCATGACAGTGAGAAGAGACAAGATATTAGTAATGCCTCAAGAGACCTATTATGTTCAAATAGCTTTGATGCTTTATTGAGGGCTACTAGAAAGCAAGTAAGGTTAACAGAAAATGACAACGATTTGATCCAAGAAAAGCAGGTTTCACCACTTGCTTTGAATAGCAAATTAATCCTAGAAGCTCCCATATTTATTGCAAAGAAGAATGAGTCAAGGGCCTTAGTGTCAAATACAATTGATTTGGGCGAGGATTCTCTTGATGAAGTGAGGAAGACAATATGTTGGACATATGCTTTGATAGAATGGTTAGGGAAGAGGATATATCACCTAGGCAACAAAGAAGTGGAAACAACAAAAGAAAAAAGAAAGACACATGGAAGGCAACATAGTTGGGACGGTAAAATGGCTGAGGATTTTGTTCCAAGGCACCTACCGAGTGCGACAGGCAAAGCAGAACCATTTGACAGTATCAATAGGTTTATCAAGATCCAATAAATCCATAAAGAAGGTATGAATTATCAAGTGTTGTTAGATAGGTCTGAAGAATAAGACAAAATAAAAATATTTCAAGTTACTTTTGATGGACAATCAATCTTTTTAATTCATGCTTTTGTAATAGAAAGTTTGAGGCTGATAACTTAACCTTCTTCTTGATTGACATATTTTTACATTATTTAAGCATCCTCATTTGTAATATCATCATGGAGTGTATTACAAACTTTGTGGTGAATACAAAATACTTAGTTCTCTCTAGTTCTTATTTTCTTCATGCTTGTTAGGTAGAAGTTAGGTACTTCATTAGGATTAGTAAGGTAAGGCCTAACCCCCCTTGCTTGTACTTATCTCTATTGATATTTTTTTTATGTTTAGGCTGCTAGACACTATCTAGTGGTAAATTTGCATATAAAAAAAACGTATTCATGTTCTCTTCTCCTTCAAGCTCTCAATCTCTTCTGTTGATTTCTCATCAATCATCTTCCTCAGGTATGTTATCTCCTAGTTCCAAGAATTTTGAGCTCCATATTGATCTTATTTTTTTCAAATAAAAGTTCTTATTTTTCGGGTGCACATATCAGGTATTTGGGGGACTGATTTACTATTTTCTTTTATTTTAACAGTGGTATTAGCTTCCTTTGAAGCTCAATCTATTGAAAATGGCAAATTGTTAATTGGTTGCTAAAATCAATGTTTGAAATTCCGATGGTTAGTTTCTCGGAGTTACACTAATAGAAAATTGGAAAATGGAATCATATCGGATAGTTGTCGAAGATGTCTTTAGTCGAAATCACTAGCACAACATCAGATCACAAATCACCAAAATTGAAGAGATTTACAGTCGCACTTATGATCACAGATCAATTGACAGAGCAATGAGCAAATCATGAAAAAACCAGAGAACATGTCAAAAGAGACCCTGTAGAAAATGGTCAAATCACAAGGCAACATACGATTGTGAGTCCGATCTATGACCCATACATTAAGAAGATGATCGATATGTTAGAGGAGCATACAATCAGAATTCAAATCGTGAAACAACTCATGCCCACAGAATCAATTTACGACGCGAGTTCAGAAACCCTAGAAAAAAATAACGAGCATTTAAGGGCAATTCACATGCCATGAGTCAATTGACAGACGTGTATTGCATTCCAAATCATGTGGGGAATATAATTTGATATTTTTAGGATTTCGACTTTATGGACCATTATAAATAGACATATTAGGTTTCTTTTGAAAAGAGTGAGCAATTTAGTTTACTTTTACTTAGGTACATGCATTGCTTTTTTTCTTTGAACAATTACTTAGATACATGCATTGTTTCATTCATAAATTAAGAAAGATGAAAGTGATTTCTTTGGTTAAATTAGATGCATGTGGTAGTCTAGGTTCATGCTAGAAGAATAAATTTTGTTAGAATAGGAATAGTAATAAGAATAATATATACAGTCCTATTTAGAATAAGAATAGAAATCGTAGATAAAATCTTACTTAGAATAGGATTGTATTGTAGTATCCTAGTTGGAAAAGGAGTGTAATGTAGTATTTATAAATAAAGTCTCTATGTAATAAGTAGATACACAATTCGACAA